TCTAACAAAATTGGCTTTTACACCGTTTTTCTTGGAGCGGACGCAGCTGTTGCCATAGCAACCCGTATGTTGCACGCCGTTGCAGCCACACTGGGTCGGACTCAACGCAAGTGTGTGAACGAACCTACCTTCAGGCCCTGCTACGCGTCCAGGTTGTTATAGGGGGCTTGTGGAAATTTTCGGAACTTTTGATTATAGCCACAAATAACATACTATTCTATTTTATATCCCTGTGAGAGTCAAACACTGACAGCAGAAATTTCTGCAATGTCTCTTATGTTCGTAGTCTTCTCCGGCAGGTGAGTTAGCCTTGTTGAAAGTGCTTCTCATCGCGCTCTTTTGTGCTAGAGTGAAGCGACAACTGCAAAGTAAGCATCGTGATTTTGCTTATCTTGCTTCGCTGCTGTGCACCCGCGTGCTAAAGGAAAGCACTCCCCCAAAGCAGGACATTAAACACTCACGTCTTTAGTGTCTTTAAAAAAAAGAAAAGCAACTTGGTGAGTGTTAGTTTAACAGTTCTTAGTTGCAGTACAGACTTCTGACTAAAACTGTGACTAATATTAATGATTGACTGCGATATCCTGGCTATTTTAAAACCCAAGATTTAATCCAGGTACTTGCAAGAACATGTATATAAACTGCTCCATAGCTTTTCGTTTTTTTTTTTTTCACCTTTCTTGTTTAGTTGTCACCTTTATTTAGGTTTTTTCTGTTCGAGGTAAGGTCAGTTGGATAAAGTTAAAACTAAAGGAGGTGAAGCAGTGGAAGTGAGCTTCGGAATAATATCAAACAGTTTGGCTCGATTGTTTTAAGAAAGCATACTTATTGCTCACATGTCAATCTTTGTCATCATGAAGTTCTACATAAAACATGTCATTGATGTTCACAACTTAATGACAAAATAATTATGTTTTATCTGAATTAGGAATTTGTTTTATTACAACCCTTAGAACTTGAATGAAACATCAATTTGTGTGTTCAAGATTATTCTAACATCATTTCAGTGGAATATATTATTTGGTTTACATTTTGTTTCATACCTAAAATAACCATTCACAGCAGTTCCTATACCAGGGGTGGCCAAACTGCGGCTCACGATTCTCATCCATCTCTTCGGGAGCCACAGTGCTGCTCACGGCCCCCTAATAAACCTACCCCCCCCCCCCCCCCCTTTCTGGCTTGCAAGATCAAAAGGCAAGACATATAGAAGTGAAGGCAGCTTACGTTTTGGCTTACGTTTTGTCAGCTTTGTGCCATCATCCGCACATCGGACAATGCCCTTGTTTTTTGAATGAGGACTTGCAACAGCGAAACATAATGAGCAATCGCTTTAGGGTGGAATTTGTTGTAAAATTCAACTAAGTAGGAAAATTTTTTTGAATTTAAACAGTGCCAGGACTTTTTTATTGCAGTTCTTCACTTGAATGGTCCCTTTTATTACTCTTCTAATATGTCCGGCTGGCCACCCCTGTCGTATACTGTCCTTCATCAATCAGCATCTTGTTGTCATGCCTACTGCTTCTATGTGCAACCACACAGCTAGTTCTGTGTTTGGGGGAACCAAACCTGCTGTGCAGTTGAGGCTGACAAAAGGTTGCTTAGAAGTGCGAAGGCAAAGTAGGCATGTTTTATCTGGATAGGCCAACGCACAAATTGTAACATGTAATATTCGCAGAAGTATGAATAAAAATGAAGTGCGTGCTTGTGCTCCAATAGCACTTTTTTCCGCTTCATAATAGACTTTTAGCTGCTCCAAAAGATGCTACAAAATGACTAGGGCCAATCACACCAATGCACCTTTCAGGAGCCTGCATTTTTGTTCTGGTAGGATCAGGTGTCTTCTTATAGTGAGAAGTAAACTTTACCATATTAGCATAGAACATATTTTAATGGAAGCGCATGATTCCCAAAATATGTCAGTGTGTTGGTGTATTTCCTTTCTATATTTAGCGTGGAAATGCGTCATGTGACCTAAACACAAATTCACTTTCCCGCTAAATTTAGTGGGGAAATCGATGCCATGTAACGTAAACACGAATTTAGTTTCCCCACTATAGTGAGTAGGGAAATCAATCTCACATGACCCGTTATACCATTTCAGTATTCCCGCTAAGTTTAGCGGGAATATTCATAAAAACATAGCTCGTTCTTTACTCCTCGAAATAACTGTTCAAATGGGAGCTCCGGCGGTCTTCGGCGCTGCCCAAACTAAACAAATTGTTGGAATTCGCAAGCTTTACTTTTCTCAGCATGCTATTTATTATCTCTAAATTCAAAGTAGCCATTAAGCAAATGCATAAATAAAAGGTATGCCAAAACTAATATTCAAATCTTTCCACATTCTTTAGTGGGCTGACGTCGCATGTTGTATAAGTTGCAAGTCGAGAAGACTAAGTAACAGCATTTGGCATGTTTCTTTTTCTATTTTGCTGGCATGAGTCTTCCCAACATTCATTTCACACCATCAAACTTCTTTTAACCTGTCGGGAATTAGCTGTACTGCCACTATATTGCCTCGATTACAACGTCTGGTGACATGTTTTCAGTGTTGCCAACGAAGCCTCAGCTTCTCGTACTAAATTTAAAAATTCAGTAACTCTAGAAAAGAAAAAAAGAAATATTTTTGTAGGTTTCAATTTTTTGTTACCGGTCCAGATTAACGTGTTAAACCAATTTTAAGGAAAATTAAGGGACTACCACAATTTCACTGGAGCTCCTCATTAAAGGAATCCATTACTGTTTTAGCTGAACTCTGTAATTTTGTTCTCACTAGCAATTACCGACTTTGAAAGGCCAACAGACTTCAGTCACACATGTCTAAGCATAAAGGTCCTCCATTACAATTTATTGATAAAAGAAGTACATACAGTACAATATTGTGTGGGATCATACACCACTAGGTTCATACTAGCTGACAGACATCTCCAGTGCTAAATGAAAAAGTAAATTCCAAATACTGTCGGCGAGGGGACTAAGGGAGCTCCCCTGTGAATTGGTATATACACCATTAAAAAAGGGGGGGGGGGTTACTGAAACTAAATTCTAGCACTTATTTTAGTCTTTTTGGTGAGCCTAGTGTCACAAAACTTAGTTTTGGAAAACATGCACCGTTTAAACAAGACGGGAAAAGACAAAAAAAAAAAAAAAAGAGGATGTGTACACTTCTCACTCTTGGAGTGAAATTTTGCTTAAACTTCACCGAGGCGTGTCAATCACCTGAAGGAGAAGTATGGACGTGGCCAATGGCCGCTCGACATTGCCGTGACGTCTTATCTTCGATCTGGAGCGAGCTTTTGAAAGATTGTTATTTTTTGTCGATCCTGTATCCGAACCAAATTGCCTATCCCAAATCCAAGCCAAAGCCGAAAAGAGAAAACAAACATGGCGGTGACAAGTGGGGAAGCAGTGCATACAGCATACTGGCGGTACCGGTTAGCGGCACGGTGAATATTCTTCAACAGACGTGATGAGTGGAAGCACATGTGTAGAAATACGATGATGGGGAATAACGTACTCCTTAGCAGTGCCAAAATTTTTGAAATTCTTCGAGATCATTCACCTGCCTTTGACGTTCGCTGCCTTTCCCTGGTTTGGGGGGCCTAGTAAGCCGAGTGAGTCTAATCCAAACAATTTTATCGAGTGATATTAATAAAGCAGACTCTCTCCGCACCGCGCTTCATATCATTTGCTGCAAAGCGCTTAATATTACCGGTGCAGATGACGAGGCTTGGTGAAATTCTACCGAGTCAATATGTCGCAGATTTCGCTCTGAACTAGCTGAGTGCGCGAAATTTCTGTTTCTTCAAACCGTTCCAGATTGAAGAACTGCATTGTGGGAGTAAACCATAAATGTTCACTACATTAATTGAGGAACACCGAAAGAATAAGACATGTTGGTAGAGGGATGACATACATTTTGTTTCAACTAGCAACGTCACAATAAAGCCAGAGCTATCTTTTTCGGTATCTCACCCCGCAGTAAAAAACCAAAGGAAGAGACATGGAAAGGAGGTGAGAAAAAAAAAAGGAGAATATATCTTTAAAATTTAAAAGATTATAAAATAAAAAGATGAAAGACTTGACGGTAAAACTATATTAATTTTTAAAATTATGACCAAACGGCTATGTCAGTTCCGGAGACAAGAACACAATCTCATCTCGAGTTAAAGCGCGAAACAGAGCAGAAATGTTGTTGTCGGCTTTGTTCATGGCGAATGATTCTGTTTATCTTTGCCGAACCTGCTATGGTGCCCTCGTATGATGCTGGTTCGCTCAACAAATAGGAGCTAGTCAGAACGGTTTTTCTTGGTACTGCATGGCTGCGAAGCCTAAAGCGCAATCCAAACCAACGCATTTTTGTGCGCGCATAGGTCGTGCGCATCCCAGAAATTGCGTATTTCGTGATGTTGTGCCGATTCCTTGCGCCTTCCGGGCGTGCATAAGAAAGTTGGATGATTTCAACCTTTTCTGAACGTGCACAAAAACGCGTTGTGACGTAGTAGGACGCTCCTCTCCCGGCCAATCGATGGAGGGCACTAGTTCTGGCTCTGCCTTTCTTCGCCGTCTGTCGCAGATGCTCTCCGTTCTCCCAAAGGCGCATGTCCTAACCAACGTGCATGGTTCTGACTCGGAAAGTGCACCGGAAACAGCAAAAACGTCACGAAATACGCGATTTCCGAAAAGCGCACGACCCTCGCGCGCACAAAAACGCGTTGGTTTGCACTACGCTTATGCGCACAAGGAGGAACTGTGCCACTCTCAAAGAAAACAAACATCTAGCATCTGGGGGAAAAATAACCACTTAAACAGGCCCAGTGCTGTTCATGCTAATGGAACAAATATATTAGAGTGCTCCGTAACAGAAACAAAAAGGGCACCAAAACATTAAACTGTTCAGCCGAAGTTAAAGTGCAATAACGGCTGCTTATTTCTAAACCAAGTGGCTATTTCGGTTGGGCTCTCCTTGTGTGTCCCCTTATAGATGAGGTCTTTTCTTGTAGGTGAAGGAGCCACACTGCTGGAGCACACCAGCAGCCTGCTGAAAGCCACCGAGGACATCTGGTTCAGATGCTGTTTCTGCACCTATGCCACCAGAGATCAACATGGAATCATGAGCCACCTTGTGTGCAATGTTGGTGAACAAATGAAGTGCCAGCATCCTTCCATGTTCTCTGGCTCTGGGTCAAAAGTGCCCAGCAACACTCGAAAGCACAAGAGTGACAAGTTGTACAAGTGCAATCTGTGTCCTCAAGCCTTTGTTACTAATTTTCATCTGACCAGACATAATCAAACACACACAGGTGAAAAGCCATTTAAGTGCAGGTTGTGCCCCCAAGCCTTTGCACGGAAGTGCAATCTAATAAGCCATAATCAAACACACACTGGTGAAAAGCCATTTAAGTGCAAGCTTTGTCCCCTATCCTTTGCTCGGAATATTCTTCTGAAAATCCATAATCGAAAACACAGTGGTGAAAAACCTTATGAGTGCAAGCTGTGCCCTCAAGCCTTTTCTCAGAATAGATATCTGATCGACCACAAACGAATACACACTGGGGAAAAACCATTTAAGTGCAAGCTTTGCCCCCAAGTCTTTACTCGGAGTTCACATCTAAGATTTCATAACCAAACCCACACTGGTGAAAAGCCATTTAAGTGCAAACTTTGTCCCCAAGCCTTTTCTCGAAGTTTCGTTCTTAGGAGCCATAATCTAAAACACACTGGTGAAAAGCCATTTAAATGCAAGCAGTGCCTCCGAACCTTTTCTCATAACTCCAGTCTGATCCGCCATTATCGAACAAACACACAGTGTTTAAAAACCTTACAAATGTGAACGATGCCCCAAAAGCTTTGCTCAGAATAGGAGCCTAATCCACCACAATCAAATGCACACATGCCTTGCAGTTGTCCTGTAAGTGGAGCCTGCCATGCTTTATAATGTGTGCAAAAATTTCACTCATGCAGAATTGTATGCCATTTTAATTTAAATGTACATATGCCCAAGTGCAAGCAATGCCCCATAGCCTTTGCTCGGATTAACAGTTAATCTCGCCATATTGAAGCGCTTATGCGCAATAAGCCTCACAAGGTCCAGCAGCATCCCAGGTCGTTTTCTATACGGTCTTGAATAATTAAGCTCATACCAACACACGAGTTTGAAAAAACCTAAGGGCATTTGCATAAAGACGCTGGCGGCAAATGGGCCTTCCAAATGCCAGCAATATCCAATGAGGTTTGTCGGAATTCTGGTGTGCTGAGCCATAGAGATTGTGCACAGAGCCAGACTATTTGTCCAAATGCCACCGCTTGTCATCACAGTAGAGTATTGGGGAGTAGGGAATGATTCCTTGCCAGCTGTGAGCTTGAGGTTGCGCAGTGTAATGGGAGACGTTTAACGTTTTTCAGAGCTGCTGCTCTCTATGTTCTGCATCTGAATGCACATTGGGTCATGCTTTAACTTTTGTTCCGAGTTCGTTTTCATTTGCTCGAGGTGTACTCCTTTGAGGCGTGGTCTAATATGTTTGTAAAAATCTCTTCGTTGTTTTCTTTTGATATTACTCCTATCTATGTGGAAGATACAAACCTGCAGAAAATAAATTTGTGACCAAAATTCAATTTTGCTATTAAAAAAAAAAAGAAAGGGTTGGTAGTTTGAACTTTTACGCTGTTGTTTCTTTTGCTGCTGCAGATTTCTGAAGTGAGTGTGAAGTAACTTCTATTTTCATTTCGACGTTCTGTACCAGGCTAAGACTTCATTTTAGCAGTTAACCCGGTGGAGCCTCATTGCCGAGTATGTGTATCTGCGTGTAACTGCAGTGCTTTATGCTGCTGATTGGTATATCGCTAGTTGCATTCCCACACTGCCCCAGCAGGTTTTGACATAACTTGACATTGTCAAACAAGTTATTAGGGACACATATTACACAGAAGGGTGAAACACCAAAGTAAAACAAACAAACAAATATAATATGGACAATACAGCACAAGGAAGCAGTCCGGCACATCGTGGCCTGCACAGGGGAGCACTCGGAGTCGGGGCCTCTGTAACCCTGGGGCAAAGCGGCTTGTTCTGTTGCAATATAGGGCTCCAGTTGCGGAGGACAAATTCCAAATGGCGTGTTGCACTACACGCTCTGGAGAGGGCTGCCTCGTGGGGTTGGAGCACGAAGTTGAAGCCACCTGTTCAGACGGAGCCTTCTTCGGTGCCTGAGTGCCAACGCCCGGAGCCAATAGGTCTCGACCATTTGATACCAGTTCTCCATCCCAGATCCCTCGTCATTCACACGAGCACTCGAAGTCGGGGCCTCTGTAACCCTGGGGCAAAGCGGCGTGTTCTGTTGCAATATGGGGCTCCAGGTGCGGAGGACAAATTCCAAACGGCATATTGCACTACACGCTCTGGAGAGGGCTGCCTCGTGGGGCTGGAGCACGAAATTGAAGCCACCTGTTGTTCAGACGGAGCCTTCCTTGGTGCCTTAGTGCCATAGCCTGGCGCCGATAGGTCTTGACCATTTGATACCAGTTCTCCATATCACCTCCCTCGTCATTCACACGAGACGGCGCGCACTGTACACCGAAAAACAGCAAGAGCAAAATAAAACCCGCTTCTTCCCCAGCAAACGAAAACCGACCCCCTCAAGCGTTCTGGCTGCAAGGCAACACATCGGCACTTGCCGGAAAATAAACATCCCTACTTGACATCTGGGTCATTCCACATTAATTGATCCAGGCCTACATTCAACCCTTATGGATTCGGTCTCGCAGAATTGTGCGTATTATTGGTAGGGTTCTGTGTTTTTGGATAAATCTGAGAAAAAAACAGAAAAACACTTGCTGGTTAATTTGCCGTCAATTCGGATTTATCAGAAAACTTCAAATTTTGAGGTCACAACGACAAAATAAAAAGCTAAAACGCAGGTGTTTTGCAAATAAATTTTATGAGAGGGCAGGGTCAGTGGTCCTGAGGAGAGGCCATTTCAGTTGCTTTTGAAATCTCGAATTATCAGCAGAAGGAGTTTGCTTTTTAACTCGTCAAGTTTTTTTCAGAACAAGGGGTCATGATCCCCGGACTTTATTTATTTTGTTTTGAAGTTGTCACAAATTAGTAACACTGCAAAAATTAAGCTTCAAACACAGGAGAACTGGGAATCTAACAAGAATAAACTGCTGTAAACCCTGAAGTTTAGTGAAAAAAAAAAAATTCTGGAAAACGCCCTACAAATTTCACGAAAAATAAACTCCGAAAGCATGGAACCCCAGTTATTGGTGATGTAAAAGTACCTTTTCCAAAATATTTTTGCCCTAGCTATTCTTTTTAATGCTGAATTTTGCAGATAGTTTTTTTTACTCCAAGTGGTAAATCAGTTTTTTTTTTCAAAAGGGTTTGAAACAAGATTGCGAACTGAACACTGTTTCAGTAGGTAAGTATATTCTTCCAGAATCTAAATTATCAAATGTGTTTTGTTGTCACATATTTTGGAGTGTTTTGAACGGTTCATATGCATTAAAAATGTCCTAAAAAGCTGATATTCACCTTTTTCAAAAACATGCTACCATATGAAGGCATGAAATGTTTTGTATTAGTAATAAGTAATATTAGTACTTCTACTAATTAGTAGTAGTAAGTGCAATTAAAAAATAATTTGATAAAACATTTCTAGCAAATTACTAAGTTTTCAGAAAAATAAAACTCGTAAAGGTGGTCGGTCTAAAAGTACATACTGAATGGTTGTAGTGTAGAATTCACAGAACAAACTAGAAAGTTAATGTCACGTGACCTTACAAATCCTTAGACAATTTATCAGTTTTTTTACTATTTTCTAAGACTAATAGCAAATATCATGCGTCATAAAAATAGTATCAATAAATATCTTTATAGTTATGTTGTCCAGGAGTCACACACACGTGTGGGCGGCGTGCGTGCCATCCGTGCGTGTGCGTGCAGGAGCCCGCACGAACACGCGCACATGGGCTAAGGCCCCCGGCACAGGCACCTCCGGGGCTTTAGCCCATGTGTACACCGCTGCCGAGGCGAGGCGGTGAGGCTGGTGGGTCTTCGTCGTGTGCGTAGTTAGTTGGCTTGGTTCGAGGTGTTTTAGTGTGACCTTATGTGCATCGAAGGGGAGAAGTGCGAGCCGACCGCTCCGTGCGTTCTTGGCTTGCGCGCACGCTCGCAATCTCCCAAAAATTGTGAGAGAAGGAAAAACAAGCATTAGTCCAAGTAATAACAAACATAATGAGAGCATTCAAGCGAAACTGGGTAAATGATTCCAGAAACAGTTTATCCTATGACAAATAAAACGGTAGCCGATGCACGGATGCCACTCGTCCAAGTGATCATCGATGAACACGAAGCCCTTCTTACGGCAGAGCTCCTGCAAGAGCCAGTTCACGTCTCCGTGTCGATCACTCAACTCCGGGATCTCGGCACTCTGACTACGCTGACACTCCAACGAAGAAAACTTGTTCTTCCACCTCGTTAGTACGGAAAAAAAAGGCGATTTGTATCGCCGGACTACGTCCCAAGATCTGAGCGGCCAGCCGACGATATTTGTAACGTACGGCCAAAATCGAGAAGGGTGTCAGACACCTTGGAAAACAAAGCCTCGATCCTTATGCCACTAAACGCCCGCACTTCGACAGCCACCCGGTTATTCGATGAGAAATACTAAGACGAGTATTTCAGCATCGAATCTCCGGCAACCCAAACTCGAGGCATATCAGAAGCGCGACCGTGCTAATACACAAAGGGCCGAGCTCCTCGACCAAGAAAAAAAAAAAAGAACTGCCTCCGTCCACGCAGGAAGTGACGTAGTGCGTGGATGGAGCCTTATCTCCTCCCGGCGTGGCGATGTCCCCGCGCGTGGATGTAGACACCCCCCCCCCCCCCTTATAAAAAAAAAGAAAAAAAAAATCTTTTTTTTTAGAAAGTGGGAATCAATTTTTGGGTTTTTGTTTATTGCCAGTATTAAATATAGTGCAAAATATTGTTTCCAAAAAAAAAAAAAAAAAAACACAAAAAACAACAACAAAACAACAACAAGGTGTTCGGTCTACAAATATACACTTTACGCCCAGGCATATGTAGTCTGTAATTAAAGCAATAAACAAGCAAAGCTTGAAGTATTATTTTCTAAAAGAAAGAAAAATATGTTTAAAGGGCAACTCCGCTTCTTTTCCAGTAGTGCAAAACTATACAGTTCTCTTTGTTATCATCTACAAAACCCCCATGGCAAATATTACGACGGAATTCCGCCTAGAAGTTCATTAAAATCGCTGTCAAAGTTTGACAAGCACGAATCTGCTGGTTTTGGATGAGACGTGCGGGCCAGACAACACTGCCCGGCTGCATTTCCGCTTCCTCCAAATTCCTTCTCCCGGCACGTCCGCGACGTCATCAAACATGTACAGGTTTTTTGTTGTCTTTTTTTGTTTTTTTTTCCGGGGCGAGCACGGGTGGCGCCAGCGCCGTGAAAGACGTGAGTGACACGCTCGGCCGGCCTGGCGCTCGACTATTGACACTACTGATAAGCCGATCGCCTCGTTGAGCGCGGCTTGTGTTACATCGCATACTTTTGGACACCAAGTATACACGTTTGCAAGTCCGGTCTCAGGGCTCCGCCATCTTCCTCAGTGGGGTGCGCTCTCGGGAGCGGCCATAATCCGATTACGACGCCTTAGCAAGGCTTCGTAATAGGATTATGACTGGTCCAAGCGCACCCCAGACAGGCAAGATGGCAGCGCCCTGAAGCCGGACTTGCAAACGTGTATAAGGAGGAGAGGGAAGCTGCTTTTGTAAGAATTTTGAGTGACAGGTTAATCTTCTATAGACCGTTTTACTGAAAGAGGGCGAGAGAGAAAAGGGGAAAGGGCTACCGGCGCTTTCCCCCTTTCTGATTGTGCAGAAAGAGTGAAAGTCCCGGATGAGAGGCTTCGCCGGTGTTTGGTGTGTGTCTGCTGTGCCCCAACTTCGTTCGCGCTTTCTTTCCTGTTTTACACTCGCAAACTTAATTAGAGCCAGAGGCTTCGATGGCAACAGTCCCCCGGTCATCGCGACACCATTGCTGCGTCATAGGGTGCAGGAATAAAAACAGAAAGCATAGAATACTGTCCGAGGACATATGTAGCTTGCAAGGAACCCGGCAAGGCGAGAGCGGCTGCAATGTATTTGAGCTCCATCGCTTTCCACATGACCCCTGTCTCCGGGGGCAGTGGATTGTGTCCGTAAACCGAAAAGGCGTTTCCTCAACGCCATCCTCTCGACTTCGCTCGGAACATCTCGTGAA